GTAGGGAAAAATGTGTTAATGTGGCAGTTCTGTATATAGATATTGTATAAAAATGCCTTACCACTGTTTAATTGTACTGAGTCTGACAGGAAAATACATTTTTATCAATAAAATCAGCATGTCATAATGTGACAGTACATAAATAGCAGTAGTTTAAGAATCACTGCATTTTTTCTGGGACTTTCCCAGTACATTTAAAACACAATAAATGTTCATAGTTACCAGGATTTCCTCTTTGGCTTCTAGTATTAGACAGAAAGTTCCGTGACTGCATAAGCTTTTTGGCCTTAAAAGTATGGGAAAAAAAATGTATTTTGAGCTTAGCAAAACAATTAGTGCCTCATTTCTTTACTGGTTACTTCAAGTCTTTGAGGTGTGCAACAGAGTTTTCACTGATGTCTTACTTTTGGCTTATCTTCTGAACTGTGTTATTTCCAGTTTCTTTTTCCACACACCTGATTTCATCTTAGTCACGTCTTTTTGAAAATACATATATAAAAACCATGCTGTGGATGTGATCTGATTTCTTTCACTCAGATATGCACTATAATGCATTTTCTGTAAGGTGTCTGGACTGTGAAATCATATTCAGGACTAAGCCTGTTTGAAGAGTCATCATTTCAAGTGTCACCTGTCACAAGAGACATCTATTTCAATAACCTCTCTTTACACCAAAATAATCTAGTAGTTGGATTGTTGGTCTTATTGTTGATGTTTCATAGTGTTGAAATTTTATTCAGTTTGGGGTTTTTGTTGTTTTTTTGTTTTGACTGAATTCCTTTTGAAATTTTTTTTGCTTTCAGGCAGGACAGGCCAAAGGGTTTGGTTTTGGTTTGGTTTTGTTTGATGTTTTTTGTTGTTTTGGGGGGGGGTTAGAACATTTCAGAATTAAATTTTTTAAGAACACTTTCAGTTGCCAGTCAAACATTATAATTGCTTTGGTAAAATGTTTTGTGAATCTGTACATACCAAGCATTCTGTTGAAACATCCAGATCATTTTTTTCTGATATCCCCCTTTGAAATTAATTTATGAAGGAAAGAAGGAAACACAAAGAAATCTCATTCTGCCATCCCATGATCCCAGTTTAGTATAGGTTTATAAAAATGATGATCTATCTGCCTAAGCTCCTATGTTAGCTTTGTGGGTGAATCAGTTGTATCTAGGTCCTTTATAACTGGATACAACTTCAGAACAAACAAAAAAAATATGTGTCTACACACAGAGTAAGCTATAATATTACCTTTTCAGGTTTTTTTCCTCTGAAAATGTTGGATAATGAAATGAAAATTAATGCTTGAGAAGTGTTGAAAATACAGAATTTATAATTATTAGTATGGGTTCTTAGTCTTTTTGTTTGTATTTAAGGCAGCAATCCAGTCACAGTTAGATGGAGTACGAACAGGTTTAAGTCAACTGCACAATGCACTGAATGACGTAAAGGACATTCAGCAGTCTTTGATAGATGTCAATAAGGACTGGAGACAGAGCATCAACACCATCGAAAACCTCAAGGATGTTAAGGATGCTGTAGTGCAACATAGCCAACTGGCAGCTGCTGTAGAAAATCTCAAGAACATCTTTTCAGGTAATCTAATGTTCTTTATGTAACCCATACATACTGAAAGCACTTTAAAATGCTACTAACAGCTGTAAGGTTATCAAATAATGTGGAGAACTTTAAGCATCACTGGGAACGAAGAAATAAGGAAGAGTCACGTACACATCACGTTCAGGGAAGTAGCTGGTAACCATTTGATGTATATTGAGTCTAAATTATGCTGCAAGAACTTCTAGTCTGGCCTGTCTCATCATCAAACACAAGTCACAAAAGCTTCTTGCTAGCAATCAGTAGCAGGAATAACATGTTTAGTGTAAAAAAAAAAATGAAATGTGCAAGTGGCATGTACAGAAAGAAAATTCTGAAAGATCTGGAATGTTGCCAATAAGTTGGGCACCTACAGCAAGCCTGTTGGGTAAAAATAGTCCCAAATGTTTTTAGGAAGCAAAACCTTTTTGCAAACAAAGGCAAAATATGAAACAGCAAGATCTCAAGTCACAGATTCCCTGGCAATCTTTCTCACACAACAGTTAGGAGCCTCAAGGATTTCCATTAGTGTTATAAGTATAAACTACCTGAAATTCAGTTTCAACTGTGCACAGTCCCTGCTTCAGAAGCAGGCAGCACAATCACAGACACCAACTCATGCATGAAGGCATTATACATGGGAGACATTTCTTCCTTGCACAACTGCGAAGGTTTGCAAAATTAAGTAAGATTAATGTCATATAATGAATACTGTAAAGATAAAGAAAATGGGATTACCTCTGTCCTTTTATGCAGCCTTTTTGATGCACATTCCATCTTGAATCAGGGTGAATTCCTTGCCAGAACTTTTCTGCTTATAAGTAATTTTAAGAATTTTACCCCTGTAATGGGAGCTAAAGCTATGATACCCCTGTGGTTTTATTTAAATAGTCTTTTCTTTCCTCTTTTCTCCTGATAGTAATTCACAAAATGTGCATATAAAGAAAAATTGTTTCCCAGTCATACCAGGTTGATTTGTTTAACCTCTGTAAGAGTGTATCTAACTGCTACAGTACCAAAATGGGCTACGGTGTGCAACTTAAAGAAATGTAGTTGTATTTACATGCAATGTCTAGCAATAAAAAACAAAGGACAACAAAATTCTGTATGTTGCAATGCTGAGTTATTTTGGGGGTGTTGTTTTCTCTTACACTGATGAATGCAATTGAGACAATAAGCCTTTTCTTTTCTGGCATTCTGAGAGGTTTTTAGTGTGAAGCATCTCCTCCTGGGATTGTTAAACAGTATAGTTGATAAACAGCATAGTTGATGATAACTTCACTCCAAGCAAAACAAATGTTCTATAAACCCAAGTAGTTTTCATCATGATTAATGATTGTGTATAATTGTCTTTTCAAGCCTTTTTTGGGGCTGCCAGTTTTGTCACTAGCTGCATTTCTTGCAGTGACAATTTTTCTGCTGAGAATTTTCAGTTCTTTTCCCCACAGGATCCTAATCCTCTTCTATAGTATTCCTCAAATACTGAAAAATAATAAAGAAAAAAAAATCTTCTAAATAGCTTAGCAGCATAGGTAACTATCCCTGTTCTTCCTTTGTGCCTTAGGCAGGCAAAAACCGTTCCTTCAAGGAGGTAAAATTCAGTATTTGTTGGGTATATGCAGCCTCAGGTTCAACAGGTAAGTGACTTAGGCAAGTTAAAAGCCTTTTGTATTAGATACAAGAAAGCTAGTACTGCAATTTGGTTCATAGTAGACTTTCATGGATTTTTTTTTTTTGTTAAGGAGGGGAGAGGGAGAGAAAGGAAATTATATTCTGTTGGCACTATGATCTTTGTTTAGCCACTGATCAAAATGAAGCGTTATAGTTAATAATGTATAAAGACATATAGCACTTACTAACAATTTTTCAATACTTCAAAATAATTTCCTTTAAATTATTTCAAACGAATTGCTACAGCTGTTCTCCAGCTTGTTTCCTAGTGCTTTTATTGTCTTGTATTTATTCTTTGTATTTGGATTGCATTGTTTTACTCTTTGTTTTTTCTTCTTCTTTGCCTGCCTTTCAGTTCCAGAGATAGTCAGAGAGACCCAAGATCTGATTGAGCGAGGGGAACTTCTGCAAGCTCATCGCAAACTGATGGATTTAGAGTGTTCTCGTGATAACCTGATGTATGAGCAGTATCGCATGGACAGCAAAAACACACATGACATGAACCTCATCCATGCATACTTTGGGGATATGCAGAAACTTTCTGAGGAGCTGGCAAAGCAACTTTGGATGGTGGTTCAAAGATCTCTTGTTACAGTCCGTCGAGATCCAACCTTGCTTGTTTCTGTTGTTAGGATAATTGAGAGGGAGGAGAAAATTGACAGGCGCATGTTAGACCGGAAAAAACAAACTGGGTTCATACCTCCTGGCAGACCAAAGAAGTGGAAAGAAAAAATGTTCAATATTTTGGAAAGAACTGTGAGCATACGAATTGAAGGCACTCAAGCAGATACTAGAGAATCTGACAAAATGTGGCTTGTGCGCCATCTAGAAATCATACGTAAATACGTCCTTGATGACCTGCTTGTGGCTAAGACCCTGCTGGATCAATGTTTTCCTCCACACTATGACATTTTCAACAAATTGCTTAACATGTACCATCAGGCTTTGTCTACCCGCATGCAAGAGCTTGCTGCAGAGGATCTGGAAGCAAATGAGATTGTTAGCCTTCTAACTTGGGTTTTAAATACATACAAAAGGTAAGGTCCCCTTATATCTCTTCTGTTAGCAGTAGCTGAGAGTAAGCATGCAAAACACAGTATATGTGCTAATATTTGCATGTCTGTTTACATATAAGAAGATAAAAGAGAAATAATAGTAAAGAACTTGCTGGTTTGGTATTTGTTATGCATTTTGCTTTCTGGAAATTGTTCCTTAAAACTTGTTTGCATTTTCTAATGTGTGATTTTTTTGAGTTGCTTTGTAAGCTTAAAGTTTTAATGCAGTTAAAGACCTGCTTGTAGCTACAGTCAGATTGTATTTGTGTGTCAGTTTGGTGAAGTATTGGGAAGAGCAGAAGAGACTGAGTCATGTGTGTGAAACAAAATGTTTGTTGGCCACAGCCCCAGAAGATTTGTATGGTTATTAACTTTCTATTGTTCTTTTTTACAGGGGTTGGGATTGTTTCAGTGTTGCTTCATTACTGTTAAATGGAAAGAATGTAGGAACTTCCTTCAGGTTTTCTCTCAGAACTGTGTGGTCATTTGTTTGTTTAGAAGAATTTCTGCTTACAGATTGTCTCCTGTGATACTCTTAAACTCTTTTGAGTTGTGTGATTTGTTGGGATAACTTAAGCATTGTGGGTTTTGTTTGGTTTGTTGTTGGTTTTTTTTTTTCATCCTCCAGGTAGAAACAGCTCAAATGGCAACTGTTTATTTTTTGCTGGCGTGTAGTTACTAGGGCAACTGATTTGTTTGGGGAAAAGTAATGCTAGCCTTTCTGTGGTTTGTGACTAATCCTGTTCTCAGTAGCTGGCATTGACTCAGTCTCTGTACACTTTGTCATCTTCAATTGTTCGATTTCACTAATTCAACAAATTGGACGCTTGATAGATTTAGAGTATAATACCATAAAGCAAATAGGTAGGAGATAATACTGTTCTGTAGAATTTTTATAACCAGCTTTAAGATTCATTTTGTGTTTAGAACTGTGTGCTTTGCTCTCCACTGCAAAGTTCCTCTGCTTCCCTGCAAGGAACAATCAGGAGCACCCACTAATGCGTACTCTTACATGCCAATGCAGGATATATGAGAGATGCAGCTACTTAATAAGGGTACAGCCACTGATAAGATAAAGGAGCTGAGTTCATTGGCCTTTTCTTCTTTGTTAATAGAAGGCCAGAGGACTAACTGCACAGTGAAGGAAAATCAGAAATATGTGAATCCCTCTACCTATAGGGGCATGGCCTTGGCAAAAATCCTGCTCGCCGGTTCTTCATTTATGTCCTGGGGCTGATGTTCCCGTAAGGCAATTCTTGGTCTTAAAATTGCCCTTCTGACCTTCCCCCAGAAAGTAAAGCAGATTGCTATTGAGTTAGATAATTCAGAGCTAAAGCTCTCTCAATCCATCTGTTCCTTCATAGGAAGGGCAAAGGGAGGGAGCAAAGCCAGCGTTGCATCTATTTGCAAAGCAAACAAATCAAAATGGGATCATTCCTGCCACAGCAAGTTATGTGGCTTGTTGCACCTGATGGCAGAATCTTGTAAAGGAAGTGAAATAGTGAGAACAGTAGATATGGTAGAAGATATCTGAGAATGTACTTCTCCCCTGTATATCCCTGTATCAAGTTTGATTGAAATTAGAGGAAATATGTCAGGAAAAATAAATTAAGGCTTTGAGTTTTGCTCTTCTTTTAAAAACAAAAAAACCCCAAACCAAACCCCCAACCCCACCCCCCCAAAAAAAACCTTGAGAGAGCAGTAGAATAATTGTATTCTTACAGATTACAATAAACTGTTATAATGAGGACAATAATTAGCTGTTGTGTACATTTGTAGTGGACAGTGGAAGAAGAAATCAGCTCAGGCTTCTGAGTGGGAAAAGTGTTCAAGTGGGATACTTGCAGAGCTTACCAAATCTCAATCACTGGACATCTCTTAACAATACAATAACCAATTCTCTGTAGGGATATGTTTATAATAAACTGTGAAGGAGGATGACCTGTAAGACATCATGAGAACTGCATGTCTGTGGTATTTCACCCTCTTTTCCCTGCATAAAAAAATAGGTTCTAAACTGTTCCATTCCTTGTTCACTTCTGTGGAATGTTTGTCTGCTGGAAGATAGGGTTGGTTTTTTTCCTTTTTAATCTTTCTCTACTTTTATTAAATGTAATTGAATATTAGAGAGAACATATAAATTTGTACTTGTATTTACATATTACAGCTGCACTTCAAAACCAGTTGAGAAAATACTGACCAATTAAGAGAAGCATGAGATGTGTTTGATGAAATTGATTGAAAATTTTGATGAATTGATGAGAAAGCTATGCATAACTTGTGTTTCCATTTTTTGCATGATAGGAATTTTAAAATAATCATGTTCTACTTTACCAGAGCATGTACTGGAAGCTGTTTGTAGAACTGTATTCAGCTCATGGCTGAGAAATAAAGTGATGCTCCATGTGGAATAATAGCCTTTAATATTAGAGTTGGATGCAGTTTTACTGTGCTAGATATATTTTGCTTTCATATTTAAGTCAATGAGAGCTTTGGAAACATACTGCTATTACTAAACCTGTACTGGGTTGAGACCAGGACTCTAATCTGTGTTTTAGGGAAAATATAAGTCTTGTAAGATCCTAATGCACATATTCATAACATCATTTTGTCAGATACTGATCAAGTGTTGACAAAATTGCTAAGAGAGTTCACCAACATTGCTACAGATAGTGTCCACAATCTTCACTCAAAGGAATGGTGCTTTATATCTAGTTGGATGCTGTCTCTAGATCAAGTACCTGTTTTTTACCAGATAAAGCAGGATTGGTGGCAAGCCTGGCACAGGAGGCAGAATAGAAGTCTTTTTAAATGTTAGTTTCTAGCTAATACAATTCTGGTTCAAATTTCAACTTGATTAGAAACTTTCTATTGAAGGGAAATAACTCTTCTCTATGGTTAGAAGCCTTCTGACACTCCTAGGAGAGTTGTCTTATCGCTTCCTTTCCCCCAGATGCTTGAGTTGTGGCAGTCGGGAAAGAGATCTTGTCTATAGGAAGAAATTTTGTCTTTGGGAGCTAGAGGTAGGAGCCTGTGACTGTTGTTTTGGGCTTGGTTGAGAAGCATTGAGAAAGGTTTAGTGTCTCTGTGGCCTTCTGAAGTAGAGATAATGGTGGTATAACCAGGCTAGAAATATTTTCTAATGTTTGGCACAGTGCCACAAACAGCTTCTCATGTTTCCCCTGAATAACCCCTGAATAGCAGGTCCTGCTATTACGTGTATTCTTTATGTAAACAGCAACAGAATGGAATTCAGTTTTCTGAATAGCTTGGACCACTTAAAATGTCTTCAATCTCTTTTCCTACAGGCTCAGGAAGACACTATGAATGTGAAGTGTTCAGTTATAATAGTTTTTATGATTTCAAAGACAAGAATTTTGGTTTTTAAGTAGTTAGCTGTCGTATGGTTTGTTAGGGTTTTTTAGTGTTTTGAGATTTTTTTCATGATATGGAAGCACTACTGTGCTGACTGATTGCATGTACCCAGAGAACAACTTTAACTTGCAGTAATATAAAAAAAAACCACTTTAGGAATTTTTTTTATTATTCACTATTTGTTTTTTATAGTGGCCACTGCAAATATACAATTTGTAGCTTCTTCCTGAAGAGCACACTAGAAATGGAATGTTAAACAGTTTATGTTATTATGATTGAATATATTTCCATCAACTGTTAATAAAGCACTCTGAATAGTGTGGTTTTGAGTTATTGATTTGTTTGAGCATGAAATATTAAGAGTTCTTGCTATGTTGCACTTTGGGATGGCTTTGGTTTTTTGCTGTAGTTACACAAGCAATTCATTATATAACCTTATAAATTATAGATGCAAAATATCTCTGTAAAGTATTAATTTTATATAATCTTTGTGAAAATATTTTTAGAGTTGCTCTATTTTCTTTCTAATCGTATGAAATCAAGAATTTTCCTTTGCAAGCAAGTATAGCTAATGGTGCTGTTATAATACAGGACCTGTGAAGTGCACTTTTGATTTGGCATGCAAGATGTCTCCTCCTCTTATATTAGATGTATTCTCTACCAATAGCAGGAAGCATTGGTAGATTTTCTTTTAATATATTCTAGCTTTGATGTGGATGTGATACAAGTAGCACACCAGAAGCTCTGTTGAGAAACTCTGAGCAGAGTATTTCATACTTTTCACAGATCTTTTCCATTCTGAAATTCAGAATGTGCAAGTTGTCCGTCATCACCTCTGAAATTTAAGACATAAAAGTAGCCCCTATTAAGAGCCCACAGGTTTAACCAGTTGGCTTTTATGCAGTCTTAAGCAATCACTAATTCTTGTACATAAGTTAGAAACACATGAAAGGGTTGAATATTTAAAATGTCTGTAACATTTTTTTTAATGTATGCTGGGCTATAGCTTTTACATCCTATTCTTTCTTTTATATAGTTTTATTTACATTCCTTGTAAATGCATTTATTGTTGCAGTTAAGAACTTTTTGAAATGTAGATATTGGAAAATTGCCCTTACAGTGGTCATACAAAAAAAAAGCTGCATAGTTTTTGTAGTTTTTAACTCTTTCATTCTTTACTAATGTGCAATGTCTGTCTGTTGTGTTTTGGTTGTTTTTTTTTTCTAAACTCAGTACAGAGATGATGGGAAATTCAGAACTGTCTCCTGAAGTGGATGTAAATTCTCTGAATCCTCTGATTTCACAAAATGTGGTAGACCAGCTTCTCAGCAAATATATGTCAACGCTTACTGTAAGTAATAATAATTCAAAGACACCCTCAGATTAATGTATAGCCACATTAGTGCCTCAGTGCAGTTCCTCCATCAGAGGAAACTATTGTGACAAATGGGAACTTGATACCATTACTTTTATAAATTTTCATATACTATGTGTAGGTTTATTTATAAAGGAATAATTATGCTTTACAGATTGTATTAATCATGTTTTACTCGAAAGGAGGGAATTCCAGTGTCACGTGTCTAAATTCATAGTGCCAGTATGTTAGGTATTACTGTACTTAAAAGCCACTGAATGCAGCTTGGTCCCTATAGTAACTACATCAACATTTGATACAGATTGGATCTTTTCAAGGTAATCAGGATGTTCACGTGTTTGCCAGTTCGATTCTTTTGTCTTTTTCCCTTCATGCCTGTCAGCTGCATGAGCATAATTTCCTTTTGTGGATGCCATTTCAAGTGCATCTTAAATATAAAGACACTGCTTCTTGGTTATCCTAAGAGTCACTGGAAATTGGTCAACTACATGGCAAAGGAATCAGTATGTGATTGTCAGGTTTTTAAATGTATTTTTCTTTAAAGATCCACTGTTGATTGCCTCAGAGACTGGGATAGTTGGAACTTCGGACTTGCTGTTCTTACATTGTTCAATCGAATTCCTACTCCTCCAGAGTTTAGGAGAGGAGGGAAACTTTTTGCTGCTTTGGATGTGTTAGAGACTAAAACATGTCCAGCAACAGCAACTACTTGGGCTTGATATTCATCAGAGTAATATGAACCAATCTTGTTATGTCTCAAGGAAGTTGCCAGTAGAGACTCTGCTTCACATTAGTTTTACTAAGACTTTTAAGCAGTTTATTGTTCTGCACTTACCTTTAGGACAAAAACCACATTGATTTGTTTTCTCAAGCTACTTTTGGTTTGACTCAGGAAATGCCTTTGAATTCATTTTGTCCCCTCTTAAGATGAAAAAATATACCTATGTTGGTTTTTCAGAAATGTTTTTCCCTACGTACTGAAAAATATTATTTCTATAACATTGTTGTGTCTATTTATTTTCTATAAATAAAATAAAGCAAAGCTGCTATTCTGTTAAACACAGAGTGATTTTCTTTCGCGAGTTTTGATTTTTGGCTGTATCTTCTTTTTAAGGCAGAAAATAATGAAACTGCCTATTTATTTCACAGGATTCAGCCTGGTTCAATTTTCTACCTATCCTCACCTGCACTTCCATGTTATTTCTTTTGATGTTTTGTTTAAAACTGTTTATAAACAAAATATAACTAGTTCTGTTTGGGTAAATTAAAGTATTTCCTAACTGCAACTAATTGCAACTAACAACAAATACTGATGTTTAAGTCAATAAAAATGTCTCATTTTCATGAGAAATAAAATGCTAATAGATTTTAAACGATTTTTAATAGATTTTTTTTCCAAGCACCTCAGCTTGAAAAACAGTTCTTGTAACTTATGATCTTAAAGTAAAAAATGTTGATGTCCCCTGGGTTGTTGGCTTAAAAGATTAATTCTTCTTTGCAAACCATATCTCATCAGAGCAGTTCCATGCTTATGAGGAACAAAGTACGTTGTTTCATGTAATTGGAGATGGTGCTTGTGTACTTAGCAGATACAGCACCTGACAGGCCATTCACTCGAGTCAAAAAGAGAAGAAAACTACAGGTCTGCGTTTGGTCAACAACCTTTCTTGTGCAGGAAGATTGTAGAGCTTTCAGTTTCTTCCTTTGTCCTATCTGCTGGTAGGAGCTTCGACCGAAAGATACTCACTTAATACATTAAAAAAAACAAAACAAAACCTACTTTAGACTGTTGCACTCTTTCTGTACATGCCTACTGCTTATGTTTAATTTTGCATGGTAGGGCACACTAGTATACCTGTTATACATTGGAAAGAAAAATAAACCTTTATATTACTAGGGGTTTTAACTAAATATGAACAAAATAGAAAAGAGGCAGAAACCTTCAACCCTTTGAAAACAAAATGATTTTAGATAGGCAGAAATCAAAGAATCCAATTGCATATTTAACAAACATGCTGGTCTTGACTACCTACTCTTGCAAATATGTCCATGGTATCTGTGTCATGCAAGTGATCAGAAAACTGGCTTAATCTAGCTCTAAAAACAGCTGTTCTTAATGTCTGTTTGCTGTATAATGTGCTTGATGGATGAGAGGAGATCCAACTATTTTATCTCCATCACTATTTTCTGCAGCACTTAAGTTCCAAGAAACACAACTCATTTAATCTAATCCTGAGGGTTTTGTCCCCCATGGTAACAAGCATCAATTTCCTAAAATGTACGTAAAAGGAACTACAAGCAGATATGTGCTAATTTTCCTACATTAAGTATTACCCTAATTTTTTCAGTTGTTGAAAAATTCCATTTGAAACCTAAAGTGTGAGGTTTAATAAATGCTTCCAAAATTAGTAAACGTGTTGATTCTAACAAACTGACTTGCTCTTTGTGTTTGGAGCACTCCTCTTCCAAAACATGCCTAAGTTTGACACAAACTACATCACTAGTTTACCAGTACTAATCTTTGTCTTTGTCGATGCAAATTTTAATTAGTTTATGTTACCTATATCCTGTAGGGATGATAAGAGTGGTCAATTATTTGTTATTATGTTACTCTTCATAATGGCAATGGCTGCTATTCCAAATATTGTAGTATGGGGTTTTTTGTTGTGTTAAATTAAAAAAATATATCTTTGGTTTTTCTTGGTTGCTTTATTTAATGTAGTCTAACATAATTGGCTGGCTACGAAAAGCTCTGGAGACAGATAAAAAAGACTGGATAAAAGAAACTGAACCAGAAGCGGATCAAGATGGGTACTATCAGACTACGCTCCCAGCTATTGTTTTTCAGGTATAAGAGAACTTGGTTATTCTAGAACATCTCCAGAAGCTGTACATGGATTTGGGAGAATGGAGGGATGGGGAGGGGGTGGAAACCAACCTGTTTGGAATGCCATTGTTTCAATGTCTATTGAAGTATAGGGTTTTTTTTTTCTGTAGAGTTGTTAGTTGGAGAGTTTGTTTCTTTTGAGGTTTTTATTTGCCTTTTTGGCTTTAACACTTGGAGACATAGTTCTTTTTAGGTGTAGATTAGAAACATATTTTTCCTAGCCTGTTTAGTTGATATTTGTATTGTACTTAGGTCTCTTCATGTAAATTTGTAACATAAGCCTACCAGATGAGATGTTTGTAAACTATTAGAATACTGTTTGTTAATATGGTGCTGAGGGAGTTATGCGCATATTTGTTCCTATAAATTATTCATTATACAAACACCTTAATACTGGAAAGAAAAGTTCTGCTGAAGATCAGAAATGTTGCTGTTTAAATACTACTTCAGTTAACATTAATTCCTGTCCAAATTATTAAATAACCTTAAAACAGAAAAGATAAGACTCTAAGATCTTAAAAAAAAAAAACAAAACAAAAAAAACCCACCCAAAAAAACCACCCTCAACCTGCACCACCCTGTCAGTAGTAGAAATGGAAAGTTTTTAAAGTGATCTTTATCAATCAGAAAAATGTCAGCTTATGCTCATTTTCAAATTTTTCTGTACAAATAGTGTGTTAGGTACCTTCAATGAAAGATAGATGGTCTCTTCTTCCTGCATTTGTTTCCCACTTTGTTTTTTTCCTGTCTTATACCAGGATTTTTGCTACATGCTTTCACATTTGTATTAGTGCCAAGGTTGACTTCATCTAATCCTTTTCAGAAAGCGTGTGATGTCAAAGAAACTGGTGGCTGATCGGCTCTAGTGTCATGCTGTCAAAGGCTGCAGTGTTGAGAGTCATGTAACAGTGAAACTTTAAAAATCATTTCAGTATAAAAGCAGCTCATGTTTCCATCTGGCTTTGTACTTTTCCTTTCCAGTCCCCCCTCCTCTCAAACACAGTTCCCTGTAGGTCACCTAGATCTTGTGCCAAGTTGAGTTTCTAAAGTTTAGGGGTTCCTTCTGCTTTACTAATGTGAACTTACTACTTCCATATATGGGGAAAGCAAAGGAAATTGAGTTATAAGGTGGTTCATTACTAGCTGCAGGAGCTGACTGAAGAACTTTGATCCACTATAAAGCCAAATTCCTACTAAATTAGAAATACTAAATACTTTTTTGCTGAAGAAAGAATGCGACAGTATCAGGAGAAAACTGCAGCGTGCATTAATGGTTGTCAATAATTTATGAATTACACTTACGGAAGTAGTGATTTTTGGTTTAGTCAGCAGCAATTGTCTGGACTTGTTTAAAAAAAAAACCCAACCAACCCCCCCCCCCAAAAAAAACCCAAACAAAAAGCACATGTAAAGCCGGTGCTAGTGACAGCCTCAAACAAGATAGGAGTTCTGTCTTTGGTTTACCACTGATAAAGGCCTATCTTTATAACTAAACTATTTTTAACTTAGATGTTTGAGCAGAATCTTCAGGTGGCTGCTCAAATAAATGAAGATTTGAAAACAAAGGTACTCCTTCTATGTCTTCAACAAATGAATTCATTTCTAACCAGGTAATGCAATTTTTAAAGTATAAATGCTTTATCCTGCCTCAGCCTCTCTTTGTTTCTGCAATTCCAATGCTTGTTTTTCCTGTGGATGTTTCTTTATTGCTTTGTCTTTCTCCTGTCACATCCATGCCAACGAAGCTCTTCTTCCATTTCCTTTTCTTGCTTTCTTCATCCTTTCCCCAGTTTCACTGCAGAAGTTCTTCTGGCAGTTTCAGTTCCTCTTTGCAAACACCTCTAATTTTTTGAGTCAGTTCTACTTTCTTTTATATCTCAAAATTATATCACTTTCTGATAAGGAAGACAGAAAACACCTCCTTGGCTGCATTCTGCCCAGAACAGACAGACTAAACATCACATGAGCAACAAGCCCTTTATAAAATACTTCTAAATACCCAACAGGCCCTTATGGAGCATTTGGTCCGACAGGTGTACTTGAGTTATTACAGATTTCTGTCTGTTTAATGCCATTCCCTTATATGTTACAGGTACAAAGATGAAGCACAGTTGTATAAAGAAGAACATCTTAAAAATCGTCAGTATCCTCAATGCTATGTTCAATACATGATTGCAGTCATCAACAACTGTCAAACCTTTAAGTAAGTCTGCATGTTCTTGCAGTATTGTGAGAAAAATAAGTATTGATATTTCATTTGTAATATTGCATGTTTCCAGGACCTTCTTTTCTTTTGTATACAAAGAGGGTTTCAGCTAAGATAGTTTAGCTGACTAAACAAAGACAACAGGTTTAAATATATTACCATTTTAGGAGGTAGATAGTGTGATTGCTCTTGCCTTTGGTGAGCCAAGCCATTGCCCCTCACCAGCAAAAATCTACTTGTTGTTCAAAAAAACTCATTGCCAAAGAAAAATTTATCTTCAACTTTCAGAATTTCAAAAAGTCATTTCAGTTAGTTTGTCTGAGGAGTGCCATCTTCTCTTACATTTGATCTCTCACGGTTCACCTTCAAGCAGTGTGATCAAGGTAAACTCAGCTGGAGAAAAATAAGAGTAGAGCTTGCTCAATTAAGAATATCAAAACAGGAGAAAGAAATCCTCATTGCTCGTTTCAGTGTTCAGCAATCCAACCCCATGTTCATCTACATCTGCTGCCATTCTCAAGTTTACAAATCAGCAGTACATTGTTACCAACAGACAAGTAGTCTGGGTTGGTCACTCTAAAATCATGCTGGAGAATAAATTAAGGCTTTCCCCTTCCAAAAATAAGACTAGTATGTCTCTTTCTGTGTATGCACTCCAAAAATTTATTAGCAATGCAAATGGGCATCACTGGGTGATGAAAAGCATTGTTCTTTGTCGCAGAGAATCTATAATCAGTCTGAAAAGAAAATACTTGAAAATTGAAATGGAAGACACGTTGTCAAGCAGTCATACGAGCATGGATGCGACTTTAGACATCATTGCCAAAGAAGGATGCTCTAGCCTGCTAGATGAAGTCTTCATGGATTTAGAGGTTACAACTTTCTTTCCTCAAAAAACCCCAGAAGTATTATTTCATAAGGAAAAATAATTCAGGAATGAAGTAGTTATGAAGCCTTTTGATTGCTAAACATATTTTATATGTGGTATGCTAGCAAAATGCCAGTAAATGCCAGTATTGTTCTTCACTGGTATAGTTTGCATGTAGGAGACTGAAAGTTTGTTTAATTAAATTTCACAGGATGACTTCAGGCAGGTGCTTTGTGCATAGTGAGTATTTTCTAGCAGGTTGTACTTAGTCTTATGTAGTTGTGTTTTAAGAATTATTTTGGAAACTTCTGCTGATATTGTTATTGTCTTTTTACAGGTGCAGTACACCTGTAATTAAGATAGTTAGTTGACTCTGAAGGTGGGCCCATTCTGACTGAAATTAGCATGTTTAAGAATTGTAGCTGCTTCTTGTATAGAATCCCTCAGGGAAAAAAAAAAATATTTTTATAGCTAAAAAGAATGAAGAGTATGGGGAAGGGAGGCAGGGAAACTGGAGAAATGGAGGAGCTGAAGATGCTCTGGCACTTGTTAGATTTGTAATAATATTTTGAACTAATTTAAACACCTTGAATGATTCACAGTAAGAAAGATGTGGGAGAAGCGTTTGTTTTAAACTTGGAGCTCTTAGGCAAAACTTTTATTTCTCATTAACTATGCTCGTTGATGATGAGAAGACACTCCCATCTACTGCAGTGACCATTCTTTTGAAATTCATTAACCGCAAGCTTCATGTCACTATTATCATTTATAAAATACCATGCTCTGATACATGAAGAATTTTTCCTCTGGGAAGAACAAAGCAAGATGTGTGTGTAGACGTAGAGAGTACTGGAATTATGTATTGTGGAGTTCTGGGGAAGGAGTAAAGCATATAGGCGCAGGAAGTTTGTGGGGCCATCAAAGAGGAGCAACTGAATAGCCAGTAGCAGTTCAAGAAATCAAGCATGAAGTTGCATTATCACAACAGTTTAAAAGTGCCTCATATTTAAAATTGGAATCATCAGCTCCTAAGCCAATTTTGTCCTTGGACCTTAAATTTTTTATTTAGTACAGACATTTAAATTGAGAACATAATAAAGGATTTTAGAGAACTCATATGAAACAAATGCTCAGGTTAGTGCAGTAGGTTTACATGTACACCCAGTGTGTATGTCAGGGTAGCACCCTGTGGCAACTGTCATTCTGGCAACTGATTACATCATTTTTCTACACTAACTGCTTATTCCTTTTGAAGGAAAGTAGTTTAGAAATGTATGACACTTAAAATTGTCTCCTATTTTTTTGTAACTGCACTGATACGATGAAAGTGTCAAAAAATTATTCTGATCAATTGTTTGTTACCTTCTCAGCCACATCTCAATGAGCTGATGACAAAGAAGTGGTTGATGGGGTCTAATGCAGTGGGGACCATCTGTGTCACTGTAGAGGATTATTTCAATGACTTTGCAAAAATAAAAAAGCCTTATAAAAAGGTAGGTGCAAAATATTCTATGATGCTTTGCTAATGTACTCTGAATATCATGTTGGTTTGGCATTTCTGAACACTGAATGGAATTCAGAATTGGAATACAGAAATTGGAATTGATTCATCACTGGAAATGAAAAAATGTTCATAATCATATTGTAAAGTCTGAATCTAATATTTCTCTCTCATCTTCTTTGTTCACGGTCATATAATATTGTCAAAGACAGATCAGAATTGTGGGATTTAGTCCAGAAAATGTATTGGCATGTTACTAGATTGTATTCTTACCAGCTTTTACTTTTCTACCTCTCCTCAGAAGTTTGTAGTCAGATAAAATTAGCTCTTCTGAAACTAGTTTTGCTGGCCTGTAATTACCTTTTTTATAAATGCACACTCTGTAATTCCTATTTTTAATATGTGCAATGAGGCATAGTTAAATTGGTACCATAAGGTTTAACAAATTCATAACTCATGTTTAAAGTGCTGTTACAGCAGCACAATGTGCTAGGTTAGGTAATTTTTATTATTTTTTTTTCCCCCTCTGCAGTCTGTCGAAGGATGTCTGGATTTCTCTAATTCAATAAAGGATAAAAACAAGTACAATAATACTAAAGATTAAAGAATAATAAAGTCAGTTTTGTGTAGTTAAGATAGCATGTCTTAAATGATTTACAATGGCGTGTAGCGACAGGACAAGGAGTAATGGCCTTAAGTTATAGGAGGGTAGGTTTAGGTTAGATATAAGGAAGAAATCCGTACTGTGAGAGTGGTGAGGCACTGGAACAGGTTGCCCAGAGAAGCTGTGGCTGCCCCATCCCTGGAAGTGTTCAAGGCCAGGTTGGATGGGTCTTTGGGCAGTGTGGTCTAGTGGAGGGTGTCCCTGCCCATGGCAGGGAGGTTGTAACTGGATGGTCTTTAAGGTCCCTTCCAACCCAAACCATTCTATGATTCCCTAAGATTTAGGAAATATTTGAAGCTAGCAAGATCAGGATTTAGGTGATGTCTTTGAACAACCTCTTACTAAGTAGAAATGCTTAAAAGACACAGTCTCAAAATCATACACTTATTCTGTCTTACTTTAGCTCTTAAAGAAATAGAAGAGACTGATCAAAGTTTCTCTGATGACCTCTTAACCTTCAGTATTTGCAGATCCTGGAGGCCTTATGTATGTGAATTATACATTTTCAGTCCAGAAAAAGTACACAAAATAAGTTATGTTGGTCCCAGAATTAGTCTGTATTCATGGGACAGCTTTCTTTACCTCACAGTAACAAACCAGATCTGGAATAGTGCTTGGCATGAGTTTCTTTCAGTGTTAATACCAATCTCTGCAGCCACATATGTTTCATCATGTAGCATTTATTGCTGCCTTATGGGGAAGAAGATCACAAACACTTTTTTTTTTGCATTCATCATACCTACTATTCCACTGTCTCCTAGCGTGAAAAAAATCTCCCACACAAGACACTGTATGTTCTAGCACTGGATGGGACACACTTTTTGTTTCCCTTGTTTGGGGTGGGCTTTTTTTTCTGGTTTCAAAATATTCTTGGTTAACCCTGTTTTGAAAATCCAGTTTTTAAAAGCCGCGTGAACAGAGCACCTGAGTAAAGACTATAGCTCAACAGGTAGAACGCTATTTTGGAACAGGGGGGATCCAGATCTTACAGTCATTCTGCTTTGCTGTTTTCCTCACGTGCCCTCTCATTGAGTGGCTCTTATTGAGTGGCTCTTCTTGAGTGTTCTCTTTCTCAGTGGTAGTAGAGGTGTTCTTCTTCACTTACTTCTCAGTGGAATGGAGTATACATGTCAGTCTCCCACACTCTATTCTGTGGAATTGATTTTCCTCTGTTTAATTGGCATCAATTCCACAAATGCAGAGAAGTCATCCCTGAAGAACCACTAAACTCTGGTATTTCTGCACAGTCTTGAGAGCAGGACTTCGAATCACATTTTCTGCCTCCTGGGTGAGGGTTGTGACTTCCAGGACTTTGCAATCTGTCATTTTCTCTTTTTTCTTGTTTGACTTTTTCCTTTCCTGAAATCTTTCTCCAGCATTTTGTCTGAAACTGGAAGCATGTGTTGATTGAAACTAAAGCTTGATATATACTAATAAAATATGATAAAAAGTTTGTGATTACCTGTTATGCAAGCTTTTTCTTAATTGTAAGTAACTTTGCCACCATGCTTGGGGGAAAAAAAAACCCAACAAACAACAAAGACCTGAGGACTTGTGGGATTTAAGGACTCTTCCTATATTAGAGTTGAAAAAACATGCAAAGGTTTTAGATTTTTTTTTTTTGTTCTATTCTTTATTTCCAAACCTCAGCATTACTCTTGTACCAATACCAGATGCTTCACTTAGTCACCAGCAGCTATTTCCTATAAAAAAGACAAGTGCAGAACAGCAAAGCAGTCAAGGAAGATTTGAGAAAGGGATTGCTGCTGGCTCTCCAGGCTTCTTGCCAGACTTGGCCCAGAGCACAGATAACGTAGGCGAGGTTTGCAGTGCTTTATGCAAGGTATGGGAGTTCTCCAGCAGAAGCATCTGTGATGGCTGGTCATTCCTTGACCAGATGTAAAGAGTAAGGCTGCAAAGCCAAGCACAGGTCTGTTCTAAGGGTCATCCAAATTATTTCATGTTTGTTCTTCTATCTTTCTCCTCAGAAATAATTCAGACGTGTCATTAGAGATACCTTGGGTTTGTAGTTTCTGATAATTGGCACATCCTTTTCGTTAGGGAAGGACAGATTTTCGTTTTTGTTAGCATTACGAAAATCTAAAGCCACGCAAAATGTGTAGTATTAGCAAAACTGTGTACTGGTGATCAAGTGCAAATACACATTTCAAAGCCTAATAATTGTTCAAAGACTAAACATAATGGCTGCATTTGCAGGTATCACTGCCATAATCCACCACCTTTTTCTTCTCTTTTCAGACAATGACTGTTGAGGCCCATCGGAGAGTGGTTGTGGAATACATCAGAGCAATCATGTTAAAACGGATATCCTTCAAAAATGCAGAAGAGAGAAAAGAGGGTGCAGAAAGAATGATCAAAGAAGCAGAACAGTTCAGATTTCTGTTTAAGAAGCTTGCAGCTGTAAGCGTTTGCTTTGGGTAACACTCTTAACCTGGTAATTTAGAATAAACCACATGTGTTTACTGCTTGGGGAAAATGGGTAGAGTTAGGCCTCCATGTCTCTCACGTGTTGGGTGACTTGTGAAGATCAAAGAAGCCAGCTGAGGCACAGAGTGAGTTTCTGAAGGCATGCAGCCCTGCTGCTGACATTCCTGAGGACCGTTTTCTACTGTGTTGTGTTTATACAGCTCTCTGCAGCTCAATATTTGAGTGGCCTCACAGAGATAAGTACCCTGAATTTGTAGTAATAAGTGGAAAAAAAAAAACCCCAAACAAACAGTTGTTTGTTACCAAAACATAAAAATTGGCTTTGCTTTTCCTGGCTGGAAGAAAGGGCGATACTGTATTGAACAGATGCAATTACTTATTGCCTAAGTAAATGCAGTGTATTCATTTAGAATCAATAAGAGGAGTATGTTGACTCCATTTAAAGTGCAGTAGAAATAGAAAAGACAGGCCAAAAAAAAGATATTTGAGAAACAATGTACAAGATGGGCCTAAAATTAATACTAAATCTTTTTTCAACTGCATAAAGAGCAGGAATCTGCCAGAAAGCTCCTAGGGCCAACAGATGACAAAATGCAAAATGAATGCAGATACTTTCTCTAAAGCCTGAAAAACTGGGGGGGGTGTGGGTGGGGAGGAGGCAGCGTTCATCTCTGCTCACTGTGGAAGGTGTTGCAGCAACTCCTGTATCAGAGTCCTTCATTATGTGGGATTCTGTGTAAGATCTGTTTCAGATTAAGGCATTGATAGAAAAGGTTATGGAATAAATCATAGAATCGTTTTGGTTGGAAAAGACTTTTAAGATCATCAAGTCCAACCATTAAATGAAATGAACCAGATCAGCAGGACCAGATGACCTGGAACTAAGAGCACCAAAATAGTCCAGAGATGAAATAGATATTACAGTTCATCGGTTGTTGAAAGCTGCCTTGGTGGCCAAATGACTAGAAGAAAGCTAATGTAGGGCCAATTTTTAAGTAATGTTTCAGAAAAGATCTGGCTTTCACACCAGTTATTATTATATTAATGATACAATGTTTGTGCTGGCAAATTAGCAAAAGTTAAAGACTAGAACACATCACCATGTGGATAAATACAACATGCTGTTTGTAAGACACGACTTTACTGATATTCTGAGGGTAGGTCTGTGGATGAAGAAAACAAGGAAAGAGGGAAGAGGCTTATGGTGACAACCCACAAATATTTGGTTTTCTTAATGGCTGCTTGGGGAATTCAAGAGCATTGTGGGACAAAATACTAATTAAAGGATCGTTTACAGATATTGGGGGGATGCTTTTGTTTTGTGATTTTTTTTATTTATTTTTTTTCTTACTTTTCATCCTGCAGGGCTCTGGAGAGGACACTGAAGGACTCTGTGACATCATTGAAGCCATTGCAGAGGTTATCAAGCTAACTGATCCTTCACTGCTCTATCTGGAAGTTTCAACTTTAGTCAGTAAATACCCAGATATCAGGTAATTCTCTTTGCCCTCAAAGTTGAAAGATACATAGATACATAGATACATAGATAACATCATAGTTTCTTTGTATTCTTGGGCAAATTTAAAAACAATGTATAAATGTGTTTATATTTTCCACATTTTAGAATGTAGCCATTTTCTTATGAAAAATAACGCTAAATACAAAATGTATGTGACCTGGACTTAGGAGGTACACGTACCTAAGCACTCAGTGGTACAGCAAATGAATAATGAAAATACCTCCATTCTGTGTTTTGGGAGGATAAAATATGTTTTAGAGTCCTAAGAACAGCCAAAATAGTACTTTATATTGAGCTGGAAAAGCCAGTTCTAAGTGACTAGAGATCTGATTAAGAATTAAAGTACATGCTGCAACTGAGTGAAAGGCTTGCCAACTGAGTAATATTTTTGATGAAAATCTTACTTGTGCGAAGTTTCCTACTAATGCCAGTTTTACCATTTTCCTCTGGCAGGGATGATCATATTGCAGCTTTGCTGACAGTGAGAGGCGATGCCAGCAAAGATATGAAGCAGACTATCATTGAGACTTTGGATCAAGGTCCAAGCCAACCCAATCCAAACTATGTGCCAATTTTTAAAGAAATTACAGTTCCTACCCTGATTGTGCCAAAACTTCTTAAGTAACTGACAACTCTGTGTTTGTGTGTCATTACTGGTCTGGGATCAACGGGTTTGAAACATTTGAGGGCAAATTTGGCAATGCTATTTTGAGTAATGTTCAATATACGCTGATACTTGCTAGGCATGTTTCTTTCTAAAGACTTGGATGTGGGGAAATGTAGTAAGATTTCTGAAAGATGATGGATGTAAAGGTTATGTTTGAAGAATGAAGCTTCTAATGGCCAGGGGGCTTTTTACTGACCCATTTGTTACAGCCATTTTTGCTGTCAGCAAATACATTTTTTTCTCATGGAATATGTTTGCACGGTGCACTGCAATGCCGTATAAAGATATTTATACCAAAACCAACAGAGCTGTATTAGTGCTGGATATACTAACATACATCGCTTATAATACCTAAGCAGACTCCTTTAGAACTATCTTTATATGGCACTGCATTGAGCATGTATTAACATCCTCAATCCACTTTCACATTATATTTTGTGTATGTACTTACTTTGGTGTAAAATAGTTTATTGCAGAAAACTTGATTATGAAATCAGTTTCCTGAGGGACTGAATGAAAATGCTACTGTGCAATTTGATTGTAGGGTGAATAAATAAAGACACATGAGGTACAATCTTTTTTTTTTTTTTTTCACGGATTCACTAAAAACAGCCCATAAAGCACTATCCGTTCAATAAAATGTTAAAACATTGCTACCTTCAACTATGTATTTTTTGCATCCTTACAGATTTACAGTAGCTTTAAATCTTGTTTGTTTGAAGTGTGAATAAACTTTGGATTTAATAGTTTTCTGGAAATGCAAGATACTGGGTTTTTTTTGTTTTCACAGTATTTTCAGATTAAAGCTAAAAGCTAATTATCAGTATTTATCTGTTCTAATTATAAAATATTACTAGAAAATTGTGAATTTAAAATTATTTGATGAAGGACACAATGAAGGTGACAACTCTGTTCAGGTACTAATAGATAACAGAGATAAGTACAAGGAAGACAAGAGCCTACGTTGTTCTAATTAACGTTCTGGAGTCTGTATATGTAACTTATTTAGCCTGTGAATGCCCAGACCTTGTGCCATTCCTTACCTGGAAGAGATACAGGGAGGTCAGCAGTTTGGACAAAGGATAAAACGAAGATTGATTGTGGCTTTTTTCATTGACAGGAGCAGCGTGTCCCAAAGGCTGGGGACGGTTCAGTAGAGCATCGGCTCGATGTCTCTGTACCGGAGGAGTTTTAGCAAGGTCCTACGGGACCTTACCCTCTTCCTAGAAATCACGGCTAGGGGAGGGGAATTAGGCTGATTTTTGGAGGGTTGTGTTCAGCCCTCGGTTAAGAATTACTGAGGTGTACTTCGATTTTAATCTTGTTCCTGAAGTGCTTTTCCTGTGTGCTTTTGATCTTCAGTTTGCCTAAGGGAATCAGTTCATCGGGCTTTGTTTCTCCCTACGCTCCCTTCTTCCTCTGCAGCAGTAACCCTGTAGCTCTTGGATGTTAAACTTGGGCTGTTTCCCCTCCGTGACCAAGCACCTCCCCAGAGTCTCTCCCCGCCTGCTAGGAAACGGTCACAGGGACGGCTCCTGCCCTTGGAAAAACCCTCACGGTGGATGAGGGCTTGTGTGGAGGAGCGCCGTTAACCCGTGAGCGGGG